TGAGATATCACTCGTGGCAAAAAACATCCTCCAGTCCATAAATGGGCGGTTTGATAAATTTGAACAGTTTCCAGAGCCTCATGGCGGGCCAGCAAGCACTCACTGAGAGAGTCTGCGACATGGAAAAACAAGCCGAAGACTATGAACCGCGTATCGGCGATATGGAGACTTCACTCGCTGAGTCGCGGCAAGAGAACAAGGCTCTCCGCTTCAAGCTCTTGGGCCTGGATGGAAGATCTAGACGTAATAATATCAAAATAATCAGTGTTCCTGAGGAGAAGGGGAGGCCAACGGAATTCGTGTCCCATCTGATTCCTAAACTGCTTGGTGCAGAAAACTTCGATAAGCCGGTGTTAACTGACAGAGCGCACCGCACGTTGCAGCCTAAACCAGTTGACGGCTCCAGGCCGTGCACCATCATCGTACGGGTGCATCTGGTGCAGGAAAAGGAGAAGATCATACGATTTGGGAGACGGTGTGCTTTGGACTACGGAGGACAGCGGATCCTTATCGTTGCAGATTATACTGTAGAGGTAGTGGAGCAGCGTCAAGGCTTCAGGGAAGCTCTCAAGTTGTTACGACAGAAGAATATTCAGCACTCTCTACGCTTTCTAGCGCGGCTTCACGTTCATCACCAAGGGCAAGTAAAAGCGTTCGGCTACCCCGCTGACACCAAAAAACTTTATAGATAAAGAACTATGTATGTACAACTAACCCCAGTGGTAGGTTTGCTATAGTAAATGGTCTTATCAAAACATTCCCAGTGACATTAGTCAGTCTATACAGGCCAAACTCTGATAACCCTGCATTTTTTTCGTAAAATATTTTATATACCAGACAACGATTCAAGTCACATAATAATATCTTAATCCATACCTGGACAAGCTTTCCATAACTCCCCCACCTAACATTCTTGCAGTGCAAACTTTAAATCATTTAATCAAAACAAAGGAAGCTGTGGAAGTCTGGAGGCTACAGCACCCAACTGATCGTGATCATTCATTCTATTCCCATGTACACAGGTCTTACACACGGATTGATTACTTTCTAGTTGGTTCTAAACTAATCCCCAATATTGACAACAGTAAGTACCACAACATAATAATATCAGATCACAGCCCGGTTAGTCTAAACCTCAATCTGTCCCTCCCCAAATGGTTGTATAGCTGGTGCTTTAACCCTTTGCTACTCACTGACCAAACCTTTAAAAAACATATCACTAACCAAATTTCTATATTCCTTGAGACCAATGACAATGGTGAGGTCAATGATTCAACTTTGTGGGAGACTCTTAAAGTGCACGTCAGAGGACAATTTCCTATGAGGCATCACAGAAAAAAGCGAGGCATTGTCGACTGGAAGAGATTGAAATGGACTTAAAAAAAAAAACGCAGATCAGGTTTATAAAAACACTCGACTTCAGTCTGACTATAATATTCTAAAGTTACAATATGATAATATAACTCTTTGCCGGGGGAACAGGTTGGTAAAATTTTAGTTAAACTCAAACAGAAACATTTTGAATGTTAATAGAATGGCAAGATATCAACGAATAATTCAGAGAATTCTACTGTGATGCTTATTCTTCCAGGTCATCTACCACACAGGATGACCTTGATCATTTTTTAAGGTCTCTGTCCCTTCCACAAATTGGTGCGCCCTACAGGGATTATTTAGACTCAGATTTTACCCTGCTTGAATTACAGGAGGCTATAAAATCATTTCCTACTGGAAAGGCCCCTGGCCTAGACGGGTATGGCCCAGAGTTTTACAAGGCTTTTGGGCATCTTCTCGCACCTCTGTTATTGAGAATGATCTGTCACACCCTCTCAAGCAAAATACTTCTATCTTCTTTGGGTGAGGCCAATGTCTGCATCCTCCTAAAAAAGGGTAAGGATGACCCAGGCAACTACAGGCCTATCGCCTTGTTGAATTATGATCTTAAAATAATAACAAAGGTTCTGGCCACAAGGCAGGGTAAGAGTATAGCAAGCATCATTCATCCTGACCAAACAGGTTTTGTCCTGGGGCGATATTCTTTTTGTAATGTACGTAAAATTCTTATCACCCTGTATGCGGACCATAGTAAAGAAGATGGTGCAGCTATATTGTCTCTAGACGCACACAAGGCCGTTGACATGATTGAGTGGCCATACCTCACTGCAACACTGAAAAAATCTGGTTTCAGTAACATGTTTATTGAATGCATCAGACTTTTGTACACAAATCCCAAATCTTCCATTCTTACAAATGGGAACAGATCTTAACCATTTGTCTTGCAACGGGGAGTGTCTCCACTGTTGTTTGACATTGCACTTGAACCCTTAGTTGTAGGGATCAGAGCACACCCAGATATCAAGGGCATTAGATTGGGCGGTATTGAGACCTATGTGACATTGTATGCTGATGGTCTTTTAATTTGTTTAGCTGACCCCGAAGCGTCCAGTCCCGCCCTTCTGGATTATATTAACTATTTCTGTAGCATCTCTGGTTACACAATAAACTGGGAAAAGAGTGAATTTCTACCCTTAGTGGATAATCTTCCTGTAGAATTTCTAGAAAATGTGCCTTTCAGAGTAGTGACTGATCACTTTACCTACCTGGGGCTAAAGTTGACAGAGAATTCGAAACACCTTTTTAAGGCTAACTTTGCTGAGGCGGTGGAAAAGCTTAAAGCCAATGTTGAGGCCTGGAGGACACTGTCCCTATCAACGATTGGACAGGTGAATGTGATCAAAATGGTTACTTTGCCCAGATCTTTTTCAAAATCTACCCATTTACCTAAGTGCATCCTTTTTTAAAAAACTTGATTCTTTTATATTGCGCTTTGTGTGGGGCTACAAAGCACACAGGGTTTCCAAAGCCCATGTACATAAATCAGCAGAAGAGGGCGGCCTCGGTCTCCCAGTATTGAAACATTACTACTGGGCAGCTAACTCCAGAGCTCTCACCTATTGGAATCATGGAGACTTATTGGAGGAGAGACAAGAGAACATTCCCTGTTGGTTACAACTTGAAACATCATCTGTTGATAATACCTTTCTTTGCACATGGTTGTTTTCCTTTCCCACTCTAGATAAATCAACTCAGACAACTTTTGTGTTAAGGAATTCACTGCGAATTTTACGACAGATTAAAGTAGCCGATAGGATTACTAGAGACTCTACATATGCTCCCATCTGTCAAAACCGCTTATTCAAATCCAGGCAGCTTGATTGAGCATTCGCAATTTGGAGGAGGAAAGGTATTACATCTTTGTATATATTTTATATATTGATGGGTACTTTGCATCGTTTGCTCAATTATGTAACAAGTATGATATCCCAAATTCACATTTCTTTCGCTACTTTCAAATAAAGAATTTTGTAAAACACAGGTTTGAGCATTTTGAATCTCTCCCATCCTCCCACCCTTTCTGTGACAACTTATTGCTTGCTCCTGACTCCAAACATTTAGTTTCAAAATTTGTAGACTGCTCCTCCACTCCGGTCTCCTCTGATTATCTTTGTGAAGCCTGGGCAAAAGATTTACATGCAGACGTACCAGTGGAGCTTTGGGCAAAAGCCTCGAGTCAGGTTCATTCTTGCTCCATTAATACCCGCTACAGACTTATTCAGTATAAGGTAATTCACAGGCTGCACTACTTAAAGACAAAACTGAGCCAGATCTTTCCATCAGTGTCCTCTCAATGTGATAAATGTAACTCTGTTGAGGGTTCTTTAGCTCATCTCTTTTGGTTTTGTCCACAACTGTTTGGATTTTGGTTTGCCATTTTCAAATGGTTTTCTAAATGCTATTCCAGGGACATCAAACCTAATCATGATCTGGCAATATTTGGATGCTCCACAGAGACCCCTGGACTTGCGTTTGACGTGCAGACAGCTCTGCAGCCTGGTATGATGGCTGCGAAAAAACGTATACTGTTAACCTGGAAATCCACCACCCCACCCAGCTTTGAACATTGGCTAATCTGGGGGCCACATCACCCCAAACCCATGATGACCAGGGCACTATACACTGACATTAAAATATTATAGTGCTGTGAATGTGCAATTAGAACATGATTATTATGGGTTAGTTGCACCTAACCATCACATGGTCTGGCAGCCTTTTGCTGTTGCTTTTGTTTTGTTTTTTGCCCTTTTTATCTTTAGTGTAGTGTTCTTGTTTGTAAACTGAGAATTTTAAAAACTTAAACATAATAAAAAAAAAGAATTTGATTCCTTGGGTCACAATATAATTTGGAAAGTCTAGTGTAGCCATAAGATAATTTTATCCCATTCGTCTGTGTCTGGACCCGATCGGAATTTACCTGGCTCGTCTGGCGGGAGAAGTGCACATGCCCAAATATCCGACTATTCAAATATTCATTCCTTGGGTAGGTAATCGGTTATCAGTTTTAGTATTTGGATATTCGACCCCTATCCGCTGCTGCACAGCAGTGCCAGTGACACCCACAACCTTGTTAGCAAAGCTCTGTGTGGAAATCGTTTAGGTAGTAGCTTCTGCTAAAACGACAGCCAGCTGGGTCATACCTTATGTTGCTAAGTAATGTTAACTCTGTGACTTAAATCGATGCTAAAAGTACATGGAGATTTTGGAGCGACATATGCTGCCTTCAAGACGACGTCTTTTCCAGGGGCGACCATGCATATTTTAATAAGACAATGCAAAACCTCATAGTGCACATTACCAAGGCCTGGCTGTGGAGGAAAAGGTGTGAATGCTGGACTGGCCTGCCTACAGTCCTGACCTGTTCCCAATAGAGAATGTGTGGCGCATTTTGAAACACACTTTGTGTCAACCAAGACCTAGGACTGACTTTTCTGTAGTAAAATAAGTGTCACCTTTTAAAAGAGACAAAGCACATGAGTGTAGTCCTCAGAGTTCAAAAATTAGTAACCATTTTATTTTGTATATGCTATTTTTGGACTTGTGCACAAAAGGGAGATAGTTAATTTATACAATAAGTTAATTGCATGCCCCTGTCTTTTCTCCAGGGAGGTTGGTGGCCGCAAGCTAATGGTGGGTACCAGACTAGCTAAGGACCTAGCAGAGTTCAGTGGAGACCTGTCTTTGGAGGGCCTCCGTTTTTGGAAGACAGCCTTCTCAGCCATGACACACCCTGCCACCACTGTTACCTTTCCTTCCCAAGTCCAGAGCACTGTGACCTCAGAGGCAACTAAAGAGCAGGCTGAGCATGGCCTGTCCTTACAAGACAAGAAGCTTATCCTTCTGCCCTGCAAAAATCCACCAAGTCAAGAGCATGTGCAGCTGTGGCTGGAAGCCAGGAAACAGTATGAGAATTTACAAAAAATGAGGAGAGAGACGGGGCTGCTGAGGAAGGGAGCTACTGGACCAGATGTTGGGGAAGGGAATTCAGTGAGTACTGAGCCGCCTGCTGCTTCCTGTTACACAGCAATCAAGGTTGATCTGTGTGGGAACCCTTCCAGTGTCAGGACTCAAAAGAGAATGAAACCCAACCTGTCCTTAATCATTTCTCCTATGAAGAACATGGGCTCTCAATGTAAACCCACAGAGGTGAGTCCAGTCTCAGATGAAGCTGTTGTTGTGGATCTTGAGCAGGAGGTGGAAGAAAAAGCTGATGATGATAAAACCACCTCTCCAGAGTCCCCAGAGCTGCCTCCATGGCAGCAGCCCTGTCAGCCCAGCCCCTCAGCCCAAGACTCTCTCAGTGAACATTCTCCAGGACCACTTTCACCCAGGCTTTCTGACTCCCTGGAGAGGCTAGGAGAGAATCCTAGTCCATCACCTCTCAATGTCAGGGACAGGGAGGTGGGGAATACTAGTCCCCACCTCCTCCACAGCACCCCCCTGGTCACAAGGCAGCAGAGAAGCAAGGAAGCTATAGAGCCAATGTGCAGCACCCCCATTTCTAAGGGTAAGAAAGCATAGTTTCATCTGCGTTATGAACACAGTGCAGTTGGTAATTACATTTGTGAATTCCCTAAACCCCTGTGCTCGGCTTTTATACTTTTTTCCTCTGCTTTATTTACACTGTCATCTAACCCATGCTCTGCCTGTTCCATTCTTGCTGCAGAGGATTCCAGCCCCCAGAGACTCAAGCAGAGGAGGAGAAGCCAGGCAGACCCACTGAGAAGAGTGTTGCTAACTACACAGATGAAGGTCAGACTACCAGTGTTGATTTTCAGTCCTTTCACGATATCAGTGACCATCTCACCACAGCCCAGCCTGGTTAGGGGAACAGCTTTAGAATAGCAGTGTGCAGCTCTGCGTGGACAGTGTTACCCTGAGTGAAGTCACTCTATGTTTCACTTCAGCTTATTGATTTGAGCCTTATTTGGTTTTGGGTTCATTTGATGTGCCTGCATTGTCTTGCCAATTTAGCTACTCCTCATATTCTTTTTTGTATTCCACAGAACCAGTTTGCTGCTTTGAATGTGCCAAAGAAAGAGAACTCCCAGATTGAAGGGCCTAGCATAGCCAACTCTTATGGCTTCAAAGTCAGCATGCAGAACCTGCAGGATGCCAAAGCTCTGCATGAGGTGAGCTACACCTACTATCTTTGGTAAAGTCACTTCTGTCAAATAAGAGCTGTTTATTCTGGTTTGTTTTTGAGTAAAATGTATTTTATCACGTAACGTTTAAGAACCCAGATGTGTTTTTGGTTTGCAGTTGACGGGCCCTTTCCTCATCTGGTAATCTGTTTACATCTGTGTATTGAGGCTCAGTACTTTTTTTGGTACCATAAATGTGTCAAAATGTGTCTAACACTGAAAAATGGTGTCACTTCTGGTCAAACATGTACTCTTATTTATTCTAGGAGAAGAATGGTCTTATTCTACATGATAGTTTTGACTATATCTTTAGGCAAAACTTCCTTCAGCTTCTTATATTTAGACATTTAACATTGAATGTTTAACTTTGGGTCCTAATATGAAGACAAAGGTTTTATAGAAAAGTGTTCACATTTTTGCAGTACAAGGTACAGTACACAACAAACTATTGGTTTGGCATATGTAGTGAAGTAGTCAGATGACATTAATGCCTGGTTATGTCAGTGCCGTTTAAGACCTTCAAAACCTAAATCTCTTCTCATCTGGAACTATAAAAAAACTGCGTGGTGTAACATTTTGATGGTAACTGTATTTGCACTTAGCTGCCACCTGTGTTTGTAGTGTTAGGAAGGTGGAGCATAAGAGAGAATATTTAAAAACACCCCAGACAGAGTTTGGCAGAATTAAATCATCAATGAGTCAGGACATATGGTTTCAGTAGTTGGTGACTTAACCAGCAGAGTACCTCTTGATGGTTGATTTTTACCACTGGAATCCATCCTCCATAGAGTTCATGCAGTCTGTTTCTATTTACAGTTAATATTCCTGACATTTAAAGGACACATTTGTCTAGAGACTTGGAGTGGATGCATCAATTAAAGAAGCTGCCATTACTCAGTCACCAAAATTAAAAGCAGAGGGACATATCAAAGCCACACTAGTCTGGCAGTATTGCTGAAAGAAAACATATTATGAGATGAGCAGCTAGAAGAAGGTAACATGAGCATAGTGGGGAATATGGGTAATATCTGGAATATGGAGAGAGTTACCTGATGTGCTTCTTCTAAAGATTTGTTTTCAGCCCTTGTTTGTTTCTGAGTTAACACACACCATAAATGTTGAATCCAAGTCTAAAGAATGTGCCTTCAGATTGATTTTTCTTTTTGACACTATATTGTTTTCTGACTTTCCTCCTCAGATCCAATACCTAACACTGATGGCCATGGAACTCCATGCAAGAACCCGCCGTGACCTCGAACCTGACCCTGAGTTCGACCCCATATGTGCCTTATTCTACTGCTTCAGTTCTGATGCTCCGCTGCCAGATGTAGACAACATGGAGCTGACTGGTGCCATCATGGTGGACAGAGACCATCAAAGCTGTGACCAAGGTGAAGTCACTTTCTTAGAGTATATGGGGATGTGAGTCCCACTCTGTACCAGTCTTTTTTACATCATTTTGCAGTGTTTTCCTCCCTCGTCATTTGGAAAGTATTGAAAGGTGTTTGTTGTTATGCCATAAATTGTTTAAAGTTATGTGATGAACAGTCTGACTGATGAGTCTGTTTAAATGCCCTCAGTAGGTGACAGAGGAGCAGCTCCCCTGCTGGTCCGGTCAGGTGTCTCTGGACTGCAGGTGACGTACACCACTGATGAGAAGATGCTATTTCAGGAGCTGATCATTGTTGTGAGGAGGTGTGTGTGTGTGTGTGTGTGTGTAATTGTGTGGGTTGCTTTGTGAACAACAAATGTCCAATCCCGGTGGTAGTGTCACTAAGGAATTTTTAGGTATACTTTTTGATATGTGCTGTGTTTTAAATTGCTTCCATTATAAATTTTAAAAAAGCAAGGCCTACACCTGGAAAGGCAGTAATTTGTGTGTAATATATGTGGCATTATTTAGTTTAGGAAAATGCTAACTGCTTTATATTTCAGAGATTCTGAATGAATACACATGACCTCATAATTTGAAGTAGAAACTATATATTGCTCTTAAATTGAACTCTCTGTGCAAACATGGCTGTGTTGTGTTAGGTTTGACCCAGACATCTTGGTGGGATATGAAGTACAGATGCGTTCCTGGGGCTATCTCCTCCAGCGGGCTGCAGCACTTGGAGTGGACCTGTGTCAGCAGCTGTCACGAGTGCCGGGTAGGGCTGGCTGTCACTAATGTTTCTTAGTTTGTGCTGTTTTTTAAAGGTGTACTCTCATGTTTTACTTACATACCACCAAATTCTAGATTCTCTGGCAGCTCACTGATGGTGTTTAGAAAGTCACTTGTGCATTGCACTGAACTTTAAAACAAAACAATATTGAGCTATGAGAACATTGGAAGATTTAGGGGCATGTTTGCAAACTATGAGGATGTTCAGACTGGCTTAGCAGTAGGTGCAAAACAGACAGTGGACCTCAAAAAAGTTCAGCCTGTCTTGACCTTTGCCACAGCACAAAGCAGTCGGCATCATTCTGTGATGCACTGTGTTGCCCAATCAAATCTGTGGACATTCATGGTAGGTACTGTGTAAAGAGGACAGCATAGTTCAACTATTTACCCCACAGTCAGCACGGAGGAGGATAAAATCATGCCATAAGTAGGATAACCTTCTAGAGGAGAGCTGAGGAGGGAAACTCAGAGCATCATGGGGCCCCCAGCAGCCTAAGGGAAGGCTCAGGGTCACTTGATCCAACCCTAACTATAAGCTTTATTAAAAAGGAAAGTCTTAAGTCTTAAAGGTAGAGAAGGGTGTCTGCCTCCCGAACTGAGACTGGGAGTTGGTTCCTCCCATGTGAACTCTAGGAACCACAAGTAGATCTGTATCAGACCATATACATGTAGATTTAAAAGGTAGAGGTTTTCAGTTTAAATATAATCCTGAAGATTTTTATTAGACAGGATCAGGTAACAAAAATAACTGCTTTACTTTTACTTAAGAATTTTATGTGAGAAAATGTTATTTACTGAGCTTGCCATTATGTGCAGCATGAAACAGCAGAGCTTACTTGGCCCTGATCCACTAGTAATCAGCAGCTGGTAGCTTCTCTTTTAAAATAAGGCTGTGACACAGAATCAATCCATAAATTGACGCCGGTGCTTGTTAAATGCATTGCTGCATATTGTACATGTGCAGGATTTTGCAGATTATCAGTCATTTATTTTGAATCTGGCACTATGGGCATGACTACTGAGACAGAGTCCTGCTAGACTGAAGCTGGGTGAGGGTTGCTTCTCTTTTTGTCTTTAGGACGCTTCTGAGTAGGGCTGCCTCCTGAAAGAGGAATAGTGGAATCATTAGTCGAGAGGCCTGTCGGTTGACTGAGACCCTTCTGGCTGAACCTTTGTTTTTATTTTTGTCAGCCAGTGTGCATTACAGTAGAAGGCAGCCCCGGCCACTGTCAGTTTGTCATCTTCCTCTTCTCCTCATTTGCCAAGTCGTAACTTTCTCAGCGCTTTCCCCTGTGGTCGTTGGGGAATAGCCACTTCAACACATTGTATGATGCATAGATGTACATTAAAGGCAGATGATACTATTTAGCAAACTGCTGCCCAAAATGAAGACAAAAAGAAAAAAAATCCACCTGAGACTTGTACTTTATTAGAAGTGTTTTCAAACACTGTGGTCTACTTTTACAAGAAAAAAGACTTAACAGTCACAACAGTGTGTCTGGTTCGTAGTGTAATGCACAGCTGTTTATCTTAGGTTTCTGCGACGTGCATCCGTCCGAACAAGACCTAGGAAGCTAACAAAAATGTGCTGGGAAAACATTTCAGTGAGGAACTAAAAGAGGAATCATAAATCTATTTTCTTGAATTCTTTAGAAGTGCAAGCTGGCATGCATCAAATGTAACATGTGCTGGTGGTTAACTGATGAGAGAAGCTGTAGCCTCTGGTGGCTCCCCTCCTCCTCCTCCTCTTCTTCCTGCTCTGTAACTGACTGTGTGTGTCCTCAGGTGACTCCAAAGAGAACCGCTTCTCTGCAGACAGGGATGAGTACGGAGCTGACACCATGACTGAGATCAACATCATTGGGCGCGTCACTCTCAACATGTGGAGGGTGATGAAGACTGAGGTAAGTGTTGGGGTTAGGCTAACTTTATTGTCCACATTGTGGAAATTTGTGCTCGGCTTCACCTCACAGTTAAAGAACACACAATACATGTACTCAGATGCTAATGTGCACATGACAACAAATAGTTTTACCAAATAAACAGTCAAAAAAAAAGGTAAAAAGAAAATCTTATGTGGAAGAGTGAGGATGATAATAATGAGAACAATAGAAAGAGCGGGACTGCATTTCCATGAACTGGGGAAACTACTTAGTTAACATCCTGATTGCATTAGGCAGAAAAAAAAACTTATTATACACATTCCTGGTGTCTCTTAAATGTCTGTACCGCCTCTCTGGGGGTAGGGACTCAAAGTGGGAGGGGTCACTTATAATCTGGTGAGCTTTATTTTCTAAGTTTAATTAATAATTTCACTTGGTTGCTTCTGTTGTTTTCTTCTTATTTTACTGGCTACATATTTCCAGCAATTTCAGTCTGTTTCTCACCATCAGGTTTCCATACTACATGGTCATATTATAAAAAAATAGAATGCTTTCCACAAGATTCTTATACACCATCTCCAGTGTTTGCTTGCCAACATTAAAATTATTGAGCCTCCTCAACAAATACAGCCTCTATCTGGCTTTCCTAACAATGTAGTTAAAAAGTATTTAAAGCTGCCGACTCTATGTGGAAACCAGACTGTCAATGGCTGTGGTCTGTGGACTTTAACCAGCAACATCTGCTTGACATGATGAAGTTCTGTAAAGTCCTGGAGGTGGTGCCTTGAAGAAAAGTTCTAAGGTTTGTGTTTTCTTCTCCAGGTGACATTGAACAACTACAGTTTTGAGAATGTGGCCTTCCATGTGCTCCACCAGCGCTTCCCCCTGTACAGCCCCCGCGTGCTGTCCGACTGGTTTGACCACAACACTGACTTACACAGGTTTGTGACGACACTGAAACAAGTCATCGTAAATGTGAACACTGAGGACGTTTGAAGATTATTTTTGGATGTTCTGATGGTTTTAAAGTAGCATAACTATTATGAGTGCCTGTTTCCCTCTCTAGTCATCATATAATTCACTTTTCCTATGTAAAGCTTTGGTCTCTAAGAACATTATATCTCCATCATTATGCTGATGTGTGTGTTACTGTAGGTGGAAGATGGCTGACCACTATGTGAGCCGAGTACGCAGCACCGTGCAGCTTCTGCACCAGTGTGACATCGTTGGCAGAACCAGCGAGCTTGCCAGACTGTTTGGGATTCAGTTCTTGCATGTCCTGACCCGAGGATCACAGGTGCCAACACACACTTCGCTTTCTCTTCATTTCTGTTCTCTTCATACAAAAACAGTGTTTTATTAATTAGTAAAGTAAACATCTTGGAATTTGGACACTGGTTAGTCCACAGCTCTCTGTGCCGTAGTTTTACATTCACATCAAAGTCCTTAGGGCTCAGTCCTAGTTTCTCAATGTATTTTTTTTTAAATTGATGGTCCTAAACTGCCATGACCAGAACTGAACTGAGTCACACACATACAAGAGTGTTATTTAACAACAGTGTTTGACACTTGTATTATAAACATGGATGACATAGCTGTGCTAGCATACATACATCTCCAGTGTTGTTTGTTGTGGAGGTTGGCAAACAGTAACGAACTCCACTGACCCCTGTTGCTGTTGTTTTTACTGGGTTTTGAGATGTATCAAATCCTATTCCTGAGTCACTTGGAGGCAAAATTCTGGCTAATTCTGCTTGATATGTAAACAAAGCCATAAAAATACCAGAGTAATTCATACTGGTAATGTTGAAGTCCTCCCAGTAACACTATTTCAGGAATATGTTATGGCTGCTAAAAGCTGCACTTAACATTTTTATATCAGCAGTGGGTCAAATGAAGATGTGTCATTTGAAAGGGGTTTCTCTTGGTGATGAACCCAGTAACTTTACTGGTAGTGTTCGTCGTCTTCAGTCTCATTTCCAGCAGCAGCTGTTTTCAGTGACAAACCCACACTTCACTACTTGACTAGCACCAAATGACAGAAAGATAGTTAGACACTAGCGGGCGAACATAGTGAACACTTGAACAGCTTAAGATGTATTTTTCATAGGTTTGAGACCAAAGTTAAAGCTAAAGCAGGGTGAATTTTGGACTTGGTGTATATTCATCAGGTAGCTGGACACATGAATGATAATGTTGCCCCATGTCTGCAGCCATAGGTAACATCAGTGTCATTTGTCAGCATTCACAGTTTGTTTTGCTGTTCCCAAGTGGCCACAAACTATTTAATGCAGCTTTAAGTTTGGCCATAGTTAAGGTGTTAATATTAGCTTCTTAGCATTTGCATTTAACGGTCAGTCTGAGTGCTCAGCTGATGGTAACATTTTCAGGTTATAATCAAGTTTTACCAACTGATTAGCAAGTGATTGAGCAAGGTCGGTATCACCGCTGTCCACATTTGATTCCTTGTGTCAGCTAGAACAGCTGCACTCTGTTAAAACACTGTTTGGCTGTTCTGCTCTGTTTTAACATCCATCCATCCATCATCTATACCGCTTATCCCTGATGAGGATTACGGGGGTGCTGGAGCCAATCCCAGCTCACACTGGGCAAGAGGTGGGGACAGGTCACTAGTCCATCACAAGGCTAACATGTAGACACACGCACACTCACTCCTACGGGCAATTTAGTCAGCAGTCAACCTAAGCTGCATGTATTGGACTGTGGGATGAAGCCGGAGTACCCGGAGAGAACCCACGCAGGCACAGGGAGAACATGCAGACTCTGCACAGAAAGGCACCGGGTCAGCTGGGGCTCGAACCTGGAACCTTCTTGCTGAGAGGTGACGGCGCTAATCACTGCTCCTCTGTCTTAATGATACATAAATAAACAAATTGATAAATAGATAGATTAAATTAATGGATAAAGACAGACAAAATATGAGTACCACAAAGTACCTTACAAAACAGCTTTGTTTCATTATGCTCCTTCTCATCTCTCTATAGTACCGTGTCGAGTCCATGATGCTGCGTGTGGCCAAGCCTCTGAACTACATCCTCGTCACACCCAGCATCCAGCAGCGAGCCCAACAGAGGGCGCCGCAGTGCATCCCGCTGGTGATGGAGCCTGAGTCCCGCTTCTACAGTAACTCAGTGGTTGTACTGGACTTCCAGTCTCTCTATCCGTCCATCATCATTGCATACAATTACTGCTACTCTACCTGCCTGGGACATGTGGACAGCCTGGGAATGTAAGGACACACACCTACAGCATGTACTGATCTTACTTAAGTACAGGCATGGGAATTTGCTGGAAATCCAGACTTTTAGAGGTCATTTCTGAGATCTATGCAAATCCAAGGAGAAAATTTTCAAGCGGGCCATGAAACAAGCTTTCTTACATTTACATTTAACAAAATTCAGACTCGATTGTCAAATGCTTAGACTAATAATATTTTCACAGTAACAGTATCACAGCTGATGCTGCCTAGTTGAAATAAGTAGAGAAAATCGGTAACCAACCTTTGGTGGATTTTATTATATCAACTTTTTTAACCAAATCAAATGTCCACTATGCATACCATGCAAGAAAAAGATATTCATATTAACATTTGTATTGATTTACTTGCCAGTGAGCCTGTATTTTAAGCATTAATGAGGTGGGAGAGTTTCCTAATTGCTTTGTTGTATGTTGTAAAATCATTACGTGGACAAAATAAACAGGTCATTTCAGCTTTGAGGCCAAAAATTCAAATAGAACTGATGAAAACTCAGGCGCTTCTGGGGGCTTTGCAGGCGGGCCCCCCACTGGGATTCTACACCTGTAAGTAGCAAGTCTGTGTCCGGTGCTGCTTTCCCTCCCTCGTTACTTTTAATGAAACAGACATGCTGAGAGCTGTGCATGTTTCAGAGCTCAGAGCAGCAAGAACTGCAAGTAAAGAAATACTTTTTTCACCACGATTATTATAGTTGCATAGCAACAGCGGGAACATGAACACTTTTTTCTAACATGCATATGTCTGGTACTCCAAGGTAACAGGAAGAAGGAGTAGTGGCTGGAGGGGACACACTGCTCCACGCTCGTTGTTCTCAGCACAATAGGAAGAGTTACTACTAGAATGGTTTTAAAAAATAGAGCATTTTAATGCAACCGTTTTTTTTTTCCCCCCCGTGACAGGTTGAAAGGGTTACCTCTCTTATCACGTTGGATCTTATTTGAGCACGGTGGCTGTTGCATTTTGAGCACTAGATATTTTAAATGATAAATTTTATGTTGGCAGTACTACACATTTACTGCAGGAGTGGGTTTCGTTTTTTAAACAGTAAGTGGTCTTATATAGTGCTTTTCTATGCAATGACCCATTCGCCTGGTCGCACATACCAACGATATCACTGGGGGCCAGTCCTCCTGTCATTCACATGAATAACTGTTAGAGATCTTAGTTCTCAAAAAATATGAGTGAAAATAAATAATTATAAAGAAATGGATTAATCAGTTGCTAATGTAAATGGATTGAATACCACCTTTAAGTAGCACAGTGTGGTCGGACGTGCTGCCACCAGTGTAGGTCTGAAGTTCAGTCCATGCACCTCACTGCTTGCAAACACATCCACACTGCACTCGGCCCACCTTCACACTAACTAGGTGATTCAGTGATGTTTAAGTGAAGATGCTGCAGTGTGGTAACAGGCGGTGACAACTGAGTACTGGGAAAGGATGAGAATGTATTTTCTTTAATATTTATACACATGTCTGTCTCAGGCCTGATGAGTTTAAGTTTGGCTGCACCTCCCTGCGGGTTCCTCCTGAACTCCTCTACCAGCTCCGCAATGACATCACCGTGTCACCCAACGGCATCGCCTTCGTCAAGGTACAGCACCCTCCGACCACACCTCTGCTGAGATTTCACCATGCACTGAATATTGTCCTGGGAATCCACTTGACCCCTTTATGAATCACATCTCAGAGTCCTCCACTGGTGTGGGGTCTATTAAGATTCATTAGCTGCAATGAAAGCTCAGCACGTCTACAGAAAGCCCATTTCATGCTCTGTGTCCTGCCATTCTTTTATTTTCCCATTCATTTACTACTCACTCCACACTCTCTGACTCAGTCTCATTATATAACACAATGCCACATCACTGAGCACTGGTGTGTAATGGGCCATTAAAAGGCACAGAAGAAAATCAGGCTTGGTCTGGATCTACAGCTGGAGTTTGTCAAAATCTAGGCAGATGTTGCTGAAGCTGGCTTTGCTGTCTCTGCAGTCCTGCTGTGTTTGCAAGATGCATCTCATTTGCACATGCAGAGCCAAATTGCAGTGTGTTAAGTTGGAATACAAATGTGAAAACATTGTAGTCAGCAAGAAGTGCCCATCAAAATGCTGGATGCGATGGAGAAGTTCTCTGTCTGCTCTTGAGTGTCACCAGTACTCAGCTGATACCTGTGTCATGCAAAAGCTTAAAACTGTGAGAGACAGCTTTAAAACAAGAAGAGTTGTGCTCCCCCACATACATGATCATTCATTTTGACTCCTGTTTGGGTATTTAGATCATATAAAATCTGCTTTGTTTTGTTTTTTGTCATCTTTATGGTGTTATGTTAAGACAATGGACATCATGAATAAAAGTTATCAATGCTGTGCAAAACAATCTGATTGTATTAAAGAATCCGTAGGGTTTGTTGAAAGTCATGCTTGTAAGTCTTCATTCTTTCAAAGCTGCATGTTTCCAAATGTAAGGTGAAGACTTAAAGGAGCAAATGCATCTTGTGGAAGGTCAGTCACAGAAATGATTAGATTTTTCCCAGGATTGTTTTTTAATTGGCATTTACCTTCAGGTATTCCCAAAATAATGTCCCACAGAGAGAGGACCTCAAATTAATGAGGCGGTTTTTTACTACTCAAAAGTATGACCAAATCTGAGAATTTCTTCCTGCAGACTGATCCTCTGGTCCAAGACTCCTGATATATGGTCTTATACTTTTTAGCACACTAAAGCGCTTTCACCCATTCGCACTCATAAACGCTCACACTATTATATTTAACAGTAAAATCTGTATCACCTGTCAAAGAATCTGAGAGGGGCCGTGCTCCACTGCAGGACTAATGTAGTCTGACACACTCATCCACAGTGACTTGGGGGTTGCTTCACTGCACCTGTTCTTACCTAAATTTTTTTTTTGTGTGTGTGTGTGTGTGTGTCCAGTCATCAGTGCGTCAGGGAGTCCTACCCAGCATGCTGGAGGAAATCCTCAACACCAGGATCATGGTAAAGCAGTCTGTCAAAACCTACAAGCAGGACAAAGCCTTGATGAAGCTGCTGGACGCCCGACAGCTCGGACTCAAGCTCATCGCCAATGTCACTTTTGGCTACACTGCTGCTGCCTACTCTGGACGCATGCCCAGCGTGGAGGTAAGCTCAGCAGAGGTTACTGTTAGCTAAGTGAGATGACTGATTGGCTGTTGCACCATGTGTTTTCATGAGAAGTTACATCTCTATTCTTGCAAATGATGTGGACTGAGATTTGCTGAGCAAATGTTGATCCGTGCAGAGCAGAGATTTCTGCAGAACCATTGTCCCAGTGTTTCTTGCATCTTGTACCACAGTATTTGTTCATTGGTGTCTGGGTGACTTTCAGGTTGGAGATAGCATCGTGCACAAAGCTAGAGAGACCCTGGAGAGAGCCATCAAGCTGGTCAATGACACTAAGAAATGGGGAGCGCGTGTTGTGTATGGTGACACCGACAGGTAAGCAGTGCCAGTACTTCTCCCACCCTAACTCACTGTTTTGTTATAGAAGAAGCAGCAGCAGGTCAGACAGGAATACAAGCCACACGTACTCATCATGACTGATGCAGCTCGTGTCTGCTAAAAGCCACAGCTGACTCGCTTTCAGCTGTCTCTCACCCTGTGTTGAAACTGCAAGCAGCTCTGTCAATGTGTCACGGTTTTGTTATGATGTGAGTCTCTGGCTGCACCTAAGCTGCTTCTCATGCAGCTCCAGCATTTCAACAGTCAGACATATTGTTTTGACAACTAGCTCAAAGCATTAATTAATTGTCACTATTCAGAAAGCTGCAGCTACTGTACTTGGTGAGTTTTTATTCCTGCAGTATTTCAGTCATACAACCTGAAGTTTTAAATGGCAGGAGTCAATTTACAAAAGTGACCTGAACCCACCTTTTATCAAGAGTGTTAGAAGGAAGTCAGTTCTAGGAGCAACATACATTTGGTCCTACTTCTAGGCGTCACTCTTCTTCAGTTCTCCATTAGGGGGTGTACAGTCTACACACACCCTGTAGTTCTACACACAATGCTGAATGAGACAGACTTGAAGCCCCAAAAGGCGTGTGGTGAGATTCAAGTAGAGTCGCTGTGCAGTCTGTGTATAGACACGTATACTGGTTACAGTAAGTGTGTATCTCACCCAGACCAAACTCCTATAGGCACAAGCATACACACAAAAAGTGGTACTATTTTCTGTATATTCTGAAATCTTGTGTGAGAGATTAGAAAAGTCACCTATTCTTATGCAGTTTGGCACAAAAAACAGAGGCATCCCAAACTTGATTGTTTTTTTTTTTTTTTTGTGCACGCACACTGGTAAACCAGTATTCACAAAAACACACAGTGCCTGTGCTATGAGAATAACTCCCAAAAAAATACAACACACACACACACACATCCCATTGGACGACCACAGCACTGTTTGCACTCTTAGTAGAGTTGTAGATTTAAATTGAAATGGACAAAATTGCCCCTTTTCCCCACCAGTCTCCACTGGTTAACCCATAATGACATTGAGATGACATCTTTAGAAATGTTAGCAAAAAAATCCAACTGAAATCTCTCATGTTCTCATCAAATTGGATTTACAACACAACAGAGTGTGTAAGTGTCTGAATCCTGTGAATGTGGCCTGTGGTACTGAGCTGCGTGTGCGCTCTGTTTTTTTTGCAGCATGTTTGTTTTGCTGAAGGGAGCCACTAAGGAGCAGGCCTTTAAGATTGGCAACGAGATCGCTGAGGCTGTGACTGCTACCAACCCCAAACCTGTGAAGCTCAAGTTTGAGAAGGTAGTGCTGCATGCACACACACACACAGAGCACAGGCTGTAATGTCTGTGAGATTTGTGGCATTGTTATTTCTCCATATGTGCACATGGACACATGCAGAGGTAGTGACACACCTGTGTGCGTTTCCCAGGTGTACCTGCCCTGTGTGCTACAGACAAAGAAGCGCTACGTGGGCTACATGTACGAGAGCCTTGACCAAAACGAGCCCGTGTTTGACGCCAAAGGGATTGAGACGGTGCGCCGCGATGGCTGTCCTGCTGTTTCCAAGGTAACAGGCAAACTGTTCTGCCCGCCTACCTCTCCTGTTTTGCTGTGCTCTGCACCAATCACAGCCGTGCCAGCTTTCTTCCTGCCCTCCTCTAGTCAGACAGTGTCATTACAGGGAAACAGTCCCTGGCTGCTCAGTGTTAATTCTACCATTTAGGGTTAGGGTTCTTTCTCATCAACTAAATTTAAATATCATGGGATTAAACAGCAAGTCAGTGCTATAGTTGTGATTTTGTTAAATTTCATGAATCCTGCTTAAATGTAACTGCAGCTCTCTGTCAGCTCCTCTTTATTCATTCTCTCCTCATCTTTGCATGTCCATTCACCCATGTCCTCCCCAGATTCTGGAGCGTTCCATTAAGTTGCTGTTTGAGACACGTGATATCAGCCAGGTCAAACAGTTTGTGCAGCGTCAGTGTGTGAAGGTCCTGGACGGCCGGGCCAGCATGCAGGACCTGATCTTTGCGAAGGAATACAGAGGCATTGGCTCATACAGACCCGGCGCTTGCATCCCAGCACTGGAGCTCACCAGGTGTGTGTGTGTGTGTCAGGTGGTAACACCAGAACAGCAACCACAAATAGAGAAGTCTTAGTTTCACTTGGATGAATATATTTGCTTGTTGACTCTGAAGGTGTGTGTGTATGTACATGCAGCGGAGAGCGGGAGAGAAGAACGTTGCTGTCAGTTACAGTTACAGTAGTGACTGTAAATCCAATTACTCCTTCCCCACAACGCTCATTATCTGGCTGCATTAGCCTATGTATACAGTACCTGACTCTGTTGCTAGGCAACCCAGGTCTTAATGGGTGGAAAAAATCTGATTTCAGAGGCATGAGTAAGAAGGGAATATTCAGCCTCATTCATGAGCACTGGTAGTTTCTCACTACAGTAACACGGAGTCTGGCCTGCTGATTCCTCATGTTGCTGCACTGATTGTAAATGAACTGTTGGTGATTTACAGTAAAATGTCCAGGTTTGATTGCTTTTTCTTTTTTCGGGTTTTCCTTTGTGTCAGGCGTATGATGGCATATGACCGTCGCCTGGAGCCACGAGTGGGGGAGCGGGTGCCCTACGTGGTCGTGTACGGGATGCCCGGCGTGCCCCTTATCCAGCTAGTACGGCGACCCATGGAGGTGCTGCAGGACCCTGGCCTCCGCCTCAACGCCACCTACTACATTACCAAGCAGATCCTTCCTCCACTGGCCCGCGTGTTCCAGCTGATTGGAGTAGATGTGCTCAGCTGGTACCAGGAGCTCCCCAGGGTGAGAGGACAAAACCTCACAGATATGCAATTCTTGTCAGGAAGTAACAATCTAGAGGAAATGCAGAGCAGTGCTGATAATTCACTTGAATAAAAACAAGAAAACCTCCTTAATAAAAGAATTCAATTTATTTCAATTCATTGTTATTTGTATGGTGCCAAATCACAACAGTCGTCGTCTCAGGACACCTTACAAAGTAGGGTCTAAACGTTACTGTGTTATTATTATTATATAGGAAAAATCCAACAAATTCTCCTTGAGCAAGCACTTGGTGACAGCAGGGAGGAAAAACTCCTTTAAACAGAAGAAGAAAGCAAAGACTCAGGAATCTAAAGGTGCTTGAGTTTGGAGAGTTAAATCCTGATTGATTAACTTCTGTGTCTGACTGATAATTGATCAGCTTACTGTTGAAGTGCAGCAGAAAATGTTGCCCCTGGCTTTGCCCTGTTGAAATAAAACCACCTCAGAGGGTTTGGGGTCCCCGTCGGTTCCCTGCTGACAATCGAAGGAGGCTTGTCAGACGGCGGTGCTGCTGCCGCCGCCGCCTCAGTCTTTGTCCGCTGGCTTCTGCTCTGACACAGCACGCCTGCCCTCTGCTGGTGAAGCTGAGGCACAGTTCATCACAGTAATGAATGAGTGACACATGCTCAGCGGTCCATTGCAACAGATTTTATTAACTTCATGTGAACTTGCATCACTCTCTCCTAAAGCTTTTAAAAGCTCAGGTTAGCATCATAAAAGTCTTCAAATGTAACATTACGTTGGTGTTTGACATGGTTATTGGATTTAGGCAAACTATTTCTTTGTGAACATGATGGCATGGACGTGTGACAGGTGTACAGCACCCTTTCCTCCAAACCATTATAGTCCACATTGGTACTTAGATCCATTGTATGACCCTGCAGAGTTTACTATGTGGACACATGAGCTGGTGTTTGTGGTGGAAATGTTCTACTAGTTCATGCCCGACCCCCCTCAGAAAATGAGACTCGATGTCAGAACAACTACAGTTGTATTATGATGACTGTCCACAGTAGCTATAGTGTGTCTGTCATCTCTCTCCAGATCCAGAAGGTGTCCTGCTCCTCTGCAGTGGCTGGAGAGGAAGCGGGGCGGAAAGGAACCATTTCCCAATACTTCACCACGCTTCATTGCCCCGTCTGTGATGAGCTGACACAGCTGGGCGTGTGCTCACGGTGTCGCGCTGAACCCCAGCGAGTCGCTGTTACAGTATACCAAGACATGAGACAGTGGGAGAGCCAACAAGACCAGCTGCTGAAGGTGAGTCTGGAGCTGGGTGGGAGCTTGGTTTCTAGCTGGAGATCCCATTGCTTTGTACAGTCACTTGGCCACGTGTAGGTTTTTCCTACAAAATGTTCAGTTACCTGGAAATAATTGAAACTTTGACATGCATTGTTCTGCTCAGTGATGAGAAAAACACATCCGAGTAGGAGGCATCCTCAACAGTAAACATGTGAACTGCAGTTTACAAGTGCCAATGCCTCTGTGCTACTTTTTTGCCTAATGGCACTAAGGCAAATTATTGTCCAGAACACAACGAGCTGTCACATCATGCCTGCGTTTCTGTAAAAACACATGACCACAGGCTGCAGAGGAAGAGATGGTTTGTCCCAGCTTGACAATCAGTTCCTCTCCTCTTGTAACAATAAATGTTTCAGAGTTCATACCAACCTCTGACCCAGTCTCCATGGGCTGTTTTGGTAGTCGTGTAGATAAAAAAAAAAAACACCAGCATTGTGATTTCTCTCTTGAATGAAAGGCAGAGCAAAGAATCACTAAACAGAAGGCAATTGTGTAGTGCAACCTGGGGACTGAGAGTTGTGTGTGCACCCTGCCCTCATCGTGTGTGTGTATATGTTTGTTCTTTTCCAGATCTGTAGGAACTGTAGTGGCTTTGCAGAGCGGCAGGTGCCCTGTGTGTCTCTAGACTGTCCCGTCCTTTACAAGCTGTCCCGGGTCAACAGACAGCTCTCCAAGGCACCCTACCTCCGACAGCTGCTGGAGCAGTTCTGATTGGCTCCTGAAACCTGGAGCATCCCGCTAATTTGGTGCTAATTGCTGTCATCCCCCACCTTCGTGTTTTATTGGCCATTTGGTTGCAAAAGTTTAAATGGTGCTTTGAACCCTGTAGGGTTTTCATTCTGTCTCGTAACTTATTTTTTTATACAAGTATTTCTCTGCATGAGGCAGACAGCCTGGGTGGGGTGGGGGTTCCCCCCGCTTTACAGCCTGTGTCTGCCCCCATGCTTGTTTGCTGCCATCTCCATTAGCTGCTATTGGCCGAGTGAAGCTGACGTCTTTGGTGATACAGCCACAAACTGCCTGTCGTTTAAATAAGTGCAGTCCAATCAAGAAAGACTTGTATGTGCTGAAGGAGCTGGAACTCACTGGTTTTTAACGAACTCCTTACAAATCTCAAGACAAACTACATTAACACCACCAAGTATCTTCTCTTCATTTTTATATCGACTGCAGCCTTTTGTAAATAGTTCCTGTATAGCTCTATTGAACTTTCGCTGTGTATTACCATTTTAAAAAAAAGCGCCAGCCAGGAATGCAGTCAAATCTGTCTTTATGCATTCTGTCATAGGACATCATTTTTCACTTAACTTTGATTGTATTACTGTCCATCTTGGCAGAGCAGACACATCACACTGCACTACAGTGTTAGAACTGGAAACCCTTTAAGTTTTTTTTAAATATCTGGGACTGTTGCAATACCGTACTTCGATGATTTGTCATGAATAGTTTATTTACTTGTGCAGATATGGTTCTGTGTACATTTCCAATTTTCTTTGCAGAAACAAACTGTCACTCATCACGTTTCCCATACAGCCATCATACACAGGATCTGTGTAGTTGTATAAATGTGTAAAAAAAAAAAAAAAAAAAAAAAAAAAAAAAATGTTTTTAATGACCATTGCTCTGGGTGGAGGTTTGAGGTTGATATAATAAAAAGTTGATGTATTAAACGCTGTCTTTCAATGACCAGTTTGTTTAAAAATTCAAAACAACGTGATTGAGAGAACCATATGACACATAGTACAACACATACTGAAAATCTGGTCTTTACAAAAGTGCAACATCTTGCACAGCTAGCCCATTCACTGGCGCCGTGCAAAATGAAACTAAACTTCTCTAAAACAGTTTTTGGCAGCAGGGGGGCAGTATGATGAAGAGGGCAGGTGTCCCTGGATCAAATTATTCACTGGTTCTACATGTCCTTGAGCAAGGCACTTCCTACCAGTTGTAGGATTTCTTCCTCAGTCTACCATGACCTTTGACCTCACTGTGGATGGAAGAGGGCCAACACAGAATCCTTGATGAGAATCGGTAACATTTTACACAATTTCAATCAATCTGGAGTGTAGTAGTGCATCTGAAAAGTGTCCAGCAGGGTTCCAGAAGCTTTACAAGTTGCAAACCTTTCAGTTAACACACTGGATGTCTATATAAGCCGCAGGTAGCCAGTGTTCCAGTCACTGCACACTACATTTTCAGAGCTGTACATGGTGTTTTCAGGGTCCAAATGACAAATGATCGCAGGCATGGCTCTTCTAATGTTCAGTCAAAGATCTGTAGCACTCAGGAGTTGCAGGAGTGGTTAGTCTCTCTTCTCCCTGTCAAGAGAAAGCAGCAGAGAGTCTGCTACTAGAGAGGTGGTGTCAGACAGTGAGGCTCCACCCACAGCCTCTGTCACCTGGCTGTTAGAGGCAGCAGAGATCCCTGTTAGACTGGTGACATTAGGAGGAGAGGATGTCTTACTGGGTGAATTAACAAGACTTGCTGTGTCATCCATCTCAATGACCTCAAAGTCTGCATCGTTCCACTGATCAGCCTCATTGTCCATCTCCTCCTCCTCTTCATCATTGGCTCCTGAGTCCAGCAGTGCCTGGCGGTATTCACTGTCGTCAGCATCTGCCCGGCCCCTGGTACGGGGTTTTCTGCTCGGGCTGCTGGGGGTAGAGGCTAGCTTGTACATGACTGGGAAAAGGATGGAGCAGAAGGTGGCGGTGATGAGCGATAGGTACATCAGCACGGGGTGATCCTGGAACTTCCCCAGCAGGATGCCTACAACCATGGGCAGCACCATCTCACCCAGTGCTGCCCCCACCACAAAGACTGCTGCTGTGTGACCCGTCACTGTGGTGTACTGCTCCACCCAGGAGATGCCACTGGGGAAGGTGGTGGCCATGGATGCTCCATAGACACCAGTGCAAACCCACAAAGCCACCTTCTCCCTGCTGAAAAGGCAGAGAAGCAAAGAGGAGACAGTGGAGCCCACCAGGCTGAGCAGGATCATGGTACCTGGGTACACACAGGCCGCAAAAAAGATGGCCAACCCCCTACAGGCAGCGAATGTTGCCCAGAACAAAGAGTTCAGCCCAGCTGCCTGGGACTGCTGCATGTGGGCATAGTCCTTGGCGAAGGTGAAGATGAAGGAGCCGTATGCCACCTCGGCACCTACGTAGCCAAAGTAGAAGAAGAAGAGTAGGATGACAAGAGCCACGTGATATCTGGCCACCAGGGGCTTTCCTGACGATGTGCGAGCTTTGTCCCGTGAAGTGCTGCCGCGGGTGTAGAGGATGAAGAAGAGAAAGGAGACGAGAAAGACAAAACAACCGATCACAATGTAGGCCCACATGGATTTGAGGGTGCTGCTTCTGCTCTGGATGTAGTGGATCACTGTGTGATCATCAGTGACTTTGGTGATTTGTGCTGTGGTGGAGGGAGGTGTGGGGTTGGTTGGTAGGGCTCCCGTGCTGCTGTTTCCGTCAGACCCAAACAGCAGCTTGGCTATGATTGGAGACACAAAAGCCCCAGCTGCAAAGCTGAAGTGCAGAGCCTGCATGTGCGGGCCCGCCTGCTCACCCCACGTGTTCAGGATGAGCACATTGCCACCTGACACAAGGAGGAGAAAAGAGTTATTAAAGAATAAACCATCACTATGACACTGTGAAAATCAATAGGTTTTCAGAAGGGATTTAAAAGCTCCGAGTTTACTGATCTAATCCCCCACCAAAGGAAGCTGTTCCATAAGCTTCCATGGGACAGAAAATGCTCAGTCACCATGAGTCTTTAACTTTGAGCAGGGCCTAAAGGACCTATACAAAGCAGCAGCTCACTGATTTATAACAGAGCCAAATTCTGTAGTGCTTTGGCGACAGTGTTAACCACCGCACCGCTGTGCTGCCCCAACCAACGATACAAGTGTTTGAACAATCAAATGTGGACTATTAAATATCAGATCTCTCTCATCTAAATCTCTGTTAGTGAATGATTTGATAAGTGAACATCACATTGACTTATTGTGTCTTACTGAAACATGGTTACAGCAGGAAGAATATGTCAGCCTAAATGAATCCACTCCACCT